CCTCCAAGGGGTTATTGCCACCTATCCCTGTCCCAGCTTTCATGCCACGATGAACAAGGTGAATTCACTGGAACATCCAAATGTATATATCTGGCGTGACCTCTCCATCCTCTAGCATCCTGGTGTATATAGCAGGTAATGCCTTGGTTTCTTCATCTGTATGATGGGGACCCTGGACTCATTGATCTCCAATGCCCTTTTTGGCTTTAAATCCATGATTCTGTGATCATGGTCCCACTATAGGCACTTTTCACATCTGAACATTGTATTCTGGGACAGCCCACCATTGTCCAAAGCTCCCCTGGCTCCCAAATGAAGAGAGGAGATAGCACTTTGAAAGGAGGATCTTCTGGGGTTTTTATCCTTCCAAAGGAAATTCCTGAAATAAAGCAGGTTTTATCCAAATGGTGACAGAGATGCCTGGGATTTAACCACAGCCTAAAGCCCCCATTCCAGGATCAACCCATTCTCTCTTGAAGCTGTCATTTTCCGATTTCTACTGCTTAAGGCTGACGTCTGCCTGTTGCTCCTTAGGGATCCCAGTCTGGGGCTGCAGACCCCAAAGTGGGCTTTCTTTTTTGGGAATCCAGGTGGCCTCTTCATATGACACCAGCTGCAGCCCATTATACCAAGCATCCAGGTACATATTGAATTGACAACTTTCTAAGCAACTTCCTCCCAGACATATGAAAAAAATCTATCTATGAAGCTGAGAAGAAACAGAGCTCCTACTTTATATGTGAGGGAGGCAGGTGGACCTTCTGTGCCTCCTAACTCATCAGAGCACATGGCTGGGTCTGCCAGGGCAGCCTTCTGCCAGCTGCATACTTTCAGTGGCCAAGAGAGACACTCTGAGACTCCGTGGGGGTTGACAGGCAGGGTTTCTTCTGAAGCAAAAAGTGCAGGCTAATGTATATCTGACCTTGGCATCTAAAGTTTAACCCAGAACACAATGGAACTTTTCCCTCTTCCAAGGCTGTTTGCAGAACAGGGAAGTAATATTATATTTTTAAAAGAAGTATACAATCCATTTTGTGCCTCTCCGATGATCTGAAAGAATCCACCCCATGTTCTTTAGACATTTACTCATGAGGTTCCTAGAATTTTATTAGAAGAGAGGAGGAAATGTTTCTCAGGGAAACAAAAACAAAAGAAAACTTCAACATGAGAATAAAGAAGAAAAGGATCTATAGGGTCAAAAGGGGGTCTGGACTGTGTCAGGAAATGGAAAGAGAGAGGACACTACACAGAGGAGGAAGGGGAAGAGAAACACTGAATACCTGCAGGTATGAAGCATATAGATGTCTCCTTTTCAGGAGTAAGCTAGACGTCCTCAGAAGGTAGCTGCTCATTGTTGAAAGAATGATAAAGTGGCTCAACTGGTATTGTCAAACAAGAGATCATCCAGTGAGGGCCAAAGAAAGAAAAGATGCCTGGCCGCGTTGGCAACTCTCTGATGAAGAGAACTGTGGCAGTGATTTGTCAACCTGATAGCGAGCGCAGTGAAGTCTCCTGCCTTCATGAGCATAAGAAAGCTATTCTTCCAGCACTTGTCCAAATGGATTCATAGATGATTGTGTCTGTGGCCATGGTGACCCATAAGATCTAAGGGTCACAGATCTCAAGCTGGAAGGGTCCTGCCAGGACATCCTGTCCAACTTTCTCATTTCACATATGAGGAAATTGAGGCCTGTAGAGATGAAAGGCCTTGCCCAAAGTCATATGAGAGGCAAGATTTCAACCCAAACCCTTTGACTTCAGTGTTCTTTCCACGGTCCCACATTTATTATCATCTACTTCGGATGACTCATATGGTCACAAATGACTGTCAGAAGAAATTTTAAAAGCTTTGCCAAAGATTACAAAGTTTTGGTTAAGAAGCTGTGTACTCTTTGAGGATACAAGGGATTTTTAAAATTATTACTACCCATACAAGGCAAGCAATGCAGAAAAGAAAGGTGGAGTTGGTAAAGAAAAATATTAGTTTAAAATGGTGTGTGAGAATAGGTCTGGATTTCTGGACCACGGCTTAAAGTATTATGATGACGAGCTCCTGGCAAGGGTCGGTAGGAATGAATGAATCTACTGTCTTTCAAATCTACGCAAAAGGATTTCAGGCTGAGAATGAAGGGAAAGGAAAGAAACTCCCTTCACATTTCCACCATGCTATGTAGCTATGGTAGAGTGTAACTATAGTGAAGGAAGACATTCACCAAAAACAAAATCCAAGAAAGGAGTCATCAGGAAGTACGTGGTTTCTGATGTTTACACACAAAGGTCCAAACCGTGGCTATCAATTAAAATAAATTTTAGATCCTAATACAAAGAGGCAATTTTGGCTTAAGAGGTAATTACTGAGATGCTTGGAAAATATGACTGTCTGAGGAAATGTTCTATTAAATAAGAAAAATAGGTAAAATGGGGTGTGAGAAGGAGGATATCTTAAGGATATATACTCATGTGAAGAAATCTAAGAACTACATGGGGAAACAAAGGAAAGAATACTTGGTAAAAGATCATCATAGACAAAAACAGAAACAATGTTGTCATTGAAGTGAACTACAGACAACCAGGGCAGAAAGAAGAAATAGATGAGGAGTTTGGGAAATTGATCAAAAGCTGGCATACGACCACACAAGATATAGCAGTGATGGGGGAGCTTGATGATCCAAACATCTGCAGGAGCTATTTCTGCCAAGGGCAGAGCATCTGATAAATTGTTGACTGGCTACAATGACAACTTCATCATGCAAAAAGTGGAGAAATAAACAAGTTGGGGGTTGGGAGAAAGGTCCCCATTCTGGATCTGATTCTCACCAAGAGTTCTCTACATGGGATCTAACCAGGTTCTCAGTATATTACAACTTGGCTGTGCTGTGTAAAATGTATGCGTAGTCTTTTAGTCAAGCCTGTCAAGAATTTCAGATATATATGTGTCCCTCTGAATCATCTTCATGAAAATACCTATTTACCTATACAGTCACACCTTCATCATCCTGTTATCCAAAGGTCCCAACAGGAGTTTTCTTTTCCTTTCTTTGGCTAGCTATTTCACTGTTCTTTCATAGCACTACCAAAAAGTAAAGAGATTAGAGTCTTACTTTGGGTTTCATCAAATCTTCTCTATTTAACAAGAGCATGTTGGTGTTTGACCAATTTGGGGGGGGGGGTTTCAATTCAGGGATATCTCCTACTAGATGGTCTCATTGATCCCCTGGGTCCTAAGAGATGAGTGATGACTTTTAAGAGGTGAGAGGTGAGATGGTAAGTGAAAAGAACAGTTAAATCACTGATTCACAGATGTAACAACTTTTAGCAAATTCTTAGGAATCTGGATCTTTTCAATTCAATTTTCCTCAATTGCATAAATAGCAAATGTCTTGTATGTGCAAGGTAGTGTGCTAAGGCCTGGGGATGTATGGACCAAAAAACAAAAAAATGAAACAGACCCTACCTACCCTCCAATAACTTACGTTCTGTGAAGCTTCCTTCACTTTCTTTGAGTCCCAGTCAGAATCCCACCTTCAACAGGAAGCCCTTAGTGATCCCTCTTAATTCTAGCATCTTCCGTTTGTTGATTATTTCCAGTTGTACAAGGCTGTTTACATACTGTCTGTCCTTAAAAGCAGAGACTGTGTTTTTGCCTGTTTATCTCTAGCACTTAGCACAATACCTGGTACATAGTAGGCACTTAATAAATTGTTACTGATTGATTGACTGACTGACCACTAGCAGCTTTAAGAAAAAAAATCATGAGTTGTCAAGCATAAAACAAACAAAAACCAAACCTAATAAAAGAAAACGAAAATCTCCAGAAAACATCTTAGAAATCAATTTGAAATAATCTGAGGAAAGTCACTAATCTATATGAATGCTTTGGCCCAGAAATCCCACTACTGGGAACAGAAAAGAATCCAAAGACAGAAGGAAAGCTCTACAGATAACAATATAGTCATTGCAATACTCATGGTATCAAACATTTGAAAAGACAGTGAGCACCCATTGATCAGAAAATGGATGAACAAAACGAGTTCTTCACAACGTGACCTTTCTGACACTTCCAATCTTCTTAACATGAACTTTACTCCTCTCTATAAATTATATGATTCAGACACATGAGCCCACTTGCTGTTTGGCAGCCATGCGACTCCATCTCCAGCCTCTGCAGGTTGTCCCTCATGCCTGGAATGCTCTACCTTCTTCCCTCCCCACCTCTGAGTTCTTCTGGATCCCTCCAAGATGATGCAAATCTCATCTTCTGCAAGAGGTACATTTACCATCCTGCCCAGCTTCTAGTGCCTTCCTCTGAGACAATGTTCCATTTACATTGTAAATGCCTAGTCATTTACGTGTCTCTTCCTTAGAATGTAAGCTCACTGAGGGCAGGGATCTAGTTTTTCTTTTATTTGCCATTACAGCGCTTCCCAGAGTGCCTGACTCCTAGAGGTGTTTGATTGAGTAGTGAGCATAGTAACATAGTTTAAAGTTACCAGGAATACGAGGAAATTAGAAAATCCTGGGAAGACCTGTGAGTTCCTTGAGGGCAAGGACTACATCATTTTTATCTTTGTATCTGCGACACCTGACCCAGAGTCTGGCACATAGTGGGAGCTTAATAAATGCTTACTGGTTGATTGATAGCTGGTGCAGAGTGAAGAAAGCCAAACAATATACATGGTTATAATCATGTAAATGAAAAGAACTCCAAAAAGCGTCAGACTGATAAATTGTAACGATCAATCTCCTTCCCGGAGAATTGATAAGAAAACCTAATCTTCTCAGCAGAGAGGTGGAGGCTATGCATTTGGAATGTAGTCTATACTGTCAGGTATAGTTGTAATATAAGCTGACTTTCCTTAAGTTTTTTATTCACGAGAAAGGATTTAGTAGCAGAGGACTGGTTAAAGGGGAAAGATTGTGGTGTCAGAAGCAAAAGGAGCAATAACATTTTTGCTGTTATTGTTAAACTTCGAGCAAACCCCATGAAGGATCCAACATACCTGGGCCAGAGGAAAGCGTGGCTTGCAATGGAGGCAGGTCTCCACGCGGTTCTGAAGCCATTACCTGCCGGAGCACAGACCCCTTTCAGACAGGGCTTGTTTAAAGTCCCTGGGCTAGGGGGAAGTTCTTTAAATTAAGCAAGTGGACTCCCTCATGTTGCCCCTTGTCACGTCACAGCCGTTCCAAAATTCCTATAGAGACTTCTAGTGATTTTAATCATCTCCCTCACCTCTCTGAGTTGGAATTTCACGTCTCGAAAGCAGAACATCCTCTGGTCTGATGAAAATGAAATAAACAAGCTTCTTACAATGAAAACCTCTTCTTATAATGGCTTCTTTGTGAATGGGTGAGTCTGTCATCCAGGACAAAGTTTCCGCTTTCACTGTCCTTGCCTAGATGTCTCTGGGAATCAATGCTGTTGAAGTGAGTGAGAACCAAGGCTTCCAGGTGCTGGGGGTGGGGGGTGGTCAGGACTTTCTTCTTATGACCAATGGCTTGTTTGAAAGAATTCATTCCCATTTCAAGGCGATCAGACTTTATCACTTTGTAAAAATGTTACGGGCAGCATAGACAGACATCTTCGTGACTTGGCTGGCCAAATCTTGTTCAATTCTCCTCACATCAGAGGGATCCATCTTCATTTGGATGACTTACACAACGTTTTCCTGCTGTCTTTACTTTTAATATGTAACAAAATGAGGAAGCCAAGGGGATTTACATTTTGGATCACTTTATGGGAAAAAAATGTAATCCTAGGACTTTCCTATAGTTGTTGGCTCTTGAAAATGAAAGAGGAAAAAAAAAAGAGAAAGAATGAGCTAAGCAGAGATCTTACACCAAGATTTCACACCCTCTCATATATAGTCCTCCAGAAATACTATATCAGGTTTGAGGCAGGCAACCACTCACAACAGAACCTGCAAGCCCATATCACCGTGTTTGTTTTCACCTTCTAGTCAAAGAACATATCAATCATTTCACAGAAAAAGACATTTAATTGAATAGCAAGGCAAAAAAATTAAAAAGATTCCCCCATTCATGTACACATGGGGTATGTTCTCACACAGATTCCCATATTACCAGTGAGTGAGGGACATGTGTGATCATAGAATATTTATAAAAGGGCACATGTTAGGAAAAAGTACTTTAGTCATGGGAGAGCTATAAAAAGATCTTCAAAATCAAATAAGGATTTTTTTCTTAGTCAGCTCATTAATGGCTTTTTCAATGTGTTTTTTATAAGATAGGGTTATTTAAGTGTTCTATTTCCTCTTCTGTTAATCTGGGCAGTTTCATCCATGTTATTTAGATTGTCAGTTTTATTGGCATATAATTGGGCAAAATAACTCCTAATAATTTCTTTAATTTTATCTTCATTGGTGGTGCATTCACTCTTTTCATTTTTGATACTGCTAATTTGTTTTTCTTCTTTCTTTTTAATCAAATTGACCAATGGTTTATCTATTTTTTTTAATAAGACCAGCTCCTAGCTTTATTTGCTAGTTTCATGTTGGCTTAATTTTATTAATCTCTCCTTTGATTTTCATGATACCAGCCTAGAATTTGGTTTGAGGCATTATTTTAAAGTTGTTTGGAGAGGAATGTTGGGAGACTTCAGCTGAGCATCTTCTCTACTCTGCCATCTTGGCTCCACCCCCCCCCTTCTTTCTTTAGACTTGGTTTTTGGCTGAATTATTCATTCTCACCGCTTCAAACAACACTTCTGGGCAAGTGACTTCACAATCTCTGGTCATGAGCTCTTTCTTAAACCCATCCCCATCTGGTCTTGGCTATGCCCGTGGAACTCAGACTCAGAAGATCAGCAGCCCCTCTACTCATCCCCTGTCCCATGTCCCAGACCTTGGTGTTATCTTTGGCTTCCCCTTTTCCTTCATCACTTACAGACAATCAGTTATAGTTCTCCCCTGGCTCTGATCCTGATTTTCTAGATTTCAAAAACCATGCCACAGCTGCTGTCTCATTTTGGAAATTCTTCCAACTCCTGGAACCTTCTCAGTGTAGAACATCAAACCCCCTCTCCCCCGCCCCAGCCTTCTTAAGTGGAATATCCTTCTACTTTTCTGGCTCCCTTCTTCCCTTGCTAAATTCCCTGTGGGGATTTGATTTTGTGGAGTGGTCCAGGCCAGTTAATTTTCAACTCTCTCATGGCTCTGCTCCTGACTTTCTAGACTTCAGATCATGTCCCTGTGCTGAGTGCCTTCATTCCCCTCTTTTTCTTTTTAGTTTCCTTTTTGTGTTTTCTTCCCTGCGTTAGAGCCTAAACTCCTCGAGGACAGAAATTCTATCTTTTTGCTGGTGTTTGTATCCCAAACACTTAGTACAGTCTCTGACACCTAGTAAGAAGATAATAAATGTTCCTAGCTTGTTGCCTGTCGATGGAGGGGACATCGTAAGTTGGCACTCCCCGGAGAATCAATTTTTCCCTGCTATGAGGGGAGGCCTCTATCCAGAGGACAAAGGCAGTTCCTTCCCCAAGTCAATACTCCAGAGGTTAAGGGCCCCTAGGGAACAGAGGCTGTCTGTAGTAGCTCAGATTATTGATAAACAGCCTGGACTGTCTGGTACCAGCTCAGAATGGTCACTTTGCCCAAGGGTCCTCAGTTTCCTCCCATGTTAAATGAGTCATTCAGAGTAGTTAGCCTCTCAGTCCCTTCCAGCTAGAAATATTTATCTCAGGACTCCAAGCCCATCACTCTATGGTCTCTTCCATGCTGGCAAGATTCTACTCTCTATAGGGTTCCAAAGATCAAAGGGATCTTTGCTGGATGATTCCTTGGAATGTGTCTGAGGTACCTAGTTTCCATGGAAACCCCTTCCTCTCCTCTTCGTGCCCCCAATCAGTTTCTGCATAAGATATCATGAGATGTCATGTTTGGCAAATTAGGAAAATGACTTCTGAGTCCTGCAGACACAGCTCCAGGGGGTGATGATGGATCCTCAGTCTGTCTCATGGCACCACATTGGTTACCTGCACATCAAGGTAGGGTGTGGGAGTTATTAGCAAAGACTAGAAAAAAAATTTTGGGAAATGGCATTCACTATTTGTGTGTGGCTGTTTTATTTACCTGCAGAGTGAGGTACCATTTCCCCAAATTGTTTTCCAATCTTTACTGATAACTTCCACTTGTAAAGCACATTTATCTTTACAAAACATTTTCTTACCACAACTCTGTGAGGTAGGGAGGATGTGCATTATTGTCCCCATTATTAAGACAAGTAAATAGAGGCTCAGAGAGGGCCAAGTACATCAATGTTCATTTAAAATGTATTTAAAAGTGGCAATATGAACAACTGAACATATCTAAGAGTTAGTTTTAGTGTTGGCAAACTTTCATACAACCCAGCCCGACTAAGCCACTTATGATTTGGAGTGCAACCTCAGTGTACATAGCTAACAGCCAGCAATGACATGGGATCTGTCTATGGTTCTTACTGGGTCTCCTTCTGCCCTGAAGGCCTGAGCCACGAGAAAATGAGGACTTCCACCACGTAAATAGGTGAGGGACAGGAATCTCTGAAACCTCCAGATTTACATGCTCAATGCCTGTGGTCCCAGCAAAGTCCCACTGAATCTGCATAAAGCAAAGGAGAGTACGAGGAAGAAGCGACATCCACCATCACTCCCAGTGGTCTAGTATTAATAATGACCTAGTGGGAAGGATACTGATCATTATTTTTTGGTTTGTCTTTAAAATTCAGATATAGGTGTAAACTTATGGGTAGGCTGAATTTACAAGTACAATTCACTCTATAATTGTCTTTTCCTGGAATACAATTTAATTCAGTTTACAGAATAACCAGATGTAGTGTCAGGAGACCTGGGGTAGAATTCCGCCTCTGACGCTCAACAACTGGTGGCCCTAGACCAGTTGCAGGGGTCGGGAACCTGCAGCCTCGAGGCCACAAAGGGCCGCACTTGAGGACCAAGAGGGACACATGTGGCTTCAAGGTGCAGGTTCCCCACCCCTTCTCTGAGTCTGTTTCCGTTTCTTTAAACTGCAGATAATACTGAAATCACTTACCTCACACAATGGTGATGAGTATTTTGGGACGCTTAAACAAGAGAGAAGAGTGATTTGGGGATGCAGGGAAGGTACTGGAAGTGTGATTTCATTGATACAGGAACTCCCAATAAGAAAACTCCTTCTACTAATTTAGATCAGCCCCTGCTCTGCAACCCAGAGTCTTAGAGAATTGCTTATCTAATTATTATTGCTGTTACTATTTTATTAGTATTTAACATTGCATTATTTCATCAAGCTCTTTCTAGATTTCCTTATCTATCTCATGCCTGTTGGTCTTAAGTACATTACAGTATTCCATTCCATCAGCATCTCACAATTAATCAGGGGCACCCCAACCCTAATTTCCATGTCTTTGGATATGTAGGTTCTGAACTCTGAAGTATTGTTTGCTTTAGGGGTGGGGCAGGGGAGTCAAGTCAGGAAGAGATGGCTGAGCTCATGAAAATATTTGTAACAGATCCCTCTTCTTTATTCTTTTTTTTTTTTTTGGTGAAGCAATCGGGGTTAAGCAACCTGCCCAGAGTCACACAGCTAGTAAGTGTTATGTGTCTGAGGCCAAATTTGAATTCAGATCCTCCTGACTCTAGGGCCAGTGTTCTATCCACTGTGCCGCATAGCTGCCCCCCTCTTCTTTATTCTTAACAATGGTTTCAGTATATATTCCAAACAGTGAAAGGACTAGTCAAAGGGCATGATTATTTTGGTAGATTTTGCTGTGAACCACCACATTGCTCTGCCACCAATGGGGGAGTGGACCTGTGGTGTCACAGCATCACCAGCATTCAGCTTCGTGGCTTTTCATGTTTTTGGTTCATTTGGTAGGTACAAACTCATACCTTGGAGTTGTTTTCATTCATATCTCTTTGATTACCTGGGAGATAGAGGGTTTTTCTTCCTAGTTATCATGAATAATTGCTATTTTCACTCTTGAAACCATCCTGTTTTTCTTGATCACTTTACTGAGGTTTCATCATGAGACATCTCTGCCTTCACCATTATTGTTGTCCTAATTTT